GTTACTTAGAATAAGCCTCATATCTAATAATCACCGTCTAACATGCTATATTCTTGCTCTTGCCTGTCTCCTCCACTTAAACGTATGCTCAGGAGGAGGAACACTCTCTTGTCTCATTTCTTGCTCTATCTTCAGTGTTTAGAACAGTGTCAGAGACACATAAGCAGTCAATAAATATTTGCTGAACCAGCAAAATGAGATAAGGGTTACTATTCTCCTTTTACAGATGAGTAAACTGGAGTGCCCCAAGGGTGCAAAATGGACTGCCCCAAGGCACATGATTTGTTAAGGAGCCAGTACTAACACCTGTTCTTCCTACAGACCAATCAGCTTGACAAATCTATGTACGCCTATAAAAGATGTACATACTCATTTGAAAGTTTGAAATTTTACCAAAGAGGTATATTTGGCATTTTAACGGTAAACATTTTGCTAAAGCAACAACAAAGGACATATTTTCCCAAGATAACAACCATTTCATCTATGGATAGGCATTATCTACACCATTTCTCACTTTACCCATACCATGATTACTCTTCAGACATAAACAAAAAGCACAGCAATTCTGGATTCCATCAAAATAACATTTGCAAACTTTAGTTTTGTTAAGTTACAACATTAAGATGACTAATGATATGTTGCAGAATTCTCAGTGTGGGATACCAAATATTCCCATGTACATCCATGTTGCTTGAGTGTTCCAGTATGGGAGGAGGTAGGCCTGGCACATCACAAGCCACTCCTATCCTAACAAAATTATATGGAAGTCTCAAGGATTCTTCAGAGAATCAGCTGTAATAAAATCCATCTTGAGAATACTCACTTGGTAGGAAAGATTGCAAGAATGAGGTTAATTTTGCTTGGGAGAGTATTTCCATATCTTTTCCCATTGTCAGAACATACTTGATCCATACGTGCACTTTTATTTACCTAGGATTACATAACAGGAGCATGCCACTCACTGTAACTTCTCATATCACTTTGGCTTTTTTTGTAGGGATTCTGGTCCCTTGCCTTCTCCTCTGTGGCAGGCCCTTTTCCCTTCTGTCCTACACTCTTGCTACCAACACAGTATCACACAGCCTCCATGTCCACCCAGCCAGTTAATTGTTCACAGACCAAATGAGCGGTTTGGCCTGTCTCCATTGCCACCTTTTGGTGCTACTGTTTTATTCTGATGATAAAAGTGGTAACATTTTGGAGAAATTTTTAAAGGAGAAGAAACAGAGAAATTAAGAAAACACTTATAACCGAACCACCCAGACTTAGCACACCCATTCCAGTCATTTAAAAAAACATTTTTGGATTTATATATACTATTTTGTGTACAGTCTTTTCACTTAACATTATAAGCATTTTGCCACGCTGTTTTAACAGTTCATAAACATTAATTATAATGACTGTATAATCGTCTATTGTACAATCATATGGTAATTTATTTAACCAACTTTCTACTGTTGGACTTCTGGATTGTTAAGTATAAATTCTGCCCACATTTTAGACTATTTCTTTAGGACAGAGTCCCAGAAGCGGAATTAGAGGATCAGAAGATATAAACGTTTTTAAAGCTCCTGATAGATACTGCCAAATTGCTTTTCAGAAAGCAGTTGCCAATTTACACTTTCAACATTGCCAGAGTGTTTTTCTACCAATACAGATCTGTCTAAAGGATAATAAAATTTAAGTGGAACACACAGTCCTCAAGTTATTCATGCAGTTGGAGAGGCTTTATGACCCCAGCACAGAGGCCAATGGCAGAGGTCATACCTATTGCCGGGTATGCAAATAACGAGTTAGTGTGAGCACATGCAAGAGGAGTTCTACCAAAGTGAAGAGTAATATAATTAGATTTCAGACTGTCAGATCGAGGGCCTGTGTCGGTTTCGTCCACTGCTGCACCCCAGCACACAGGATAGTGCCTAGAACACACAGTCGCTTGACAGAAATGTATTCAATTAACACAGACTCTTCTTTCAGATGCGTTTTTTTTCAGCAGCTGTAGGAGTCAGTCACTCCTGGATTCAAGGGAAACTTGACTGGCTGGATTAGAAATACCCTCGTAAAGATCTGTCCAATCCTGAGATTCTATTTCAATTTTAGAACATCAGTTTAACTGAAGGTGATGCGATACGGCTCTCTTTAGGGGAAGAACAAGTAAACACATGTGAAAGGGTACACCCTGGGCACCAGCATGCAAAGAAGTGTATGATTCAGGGGGTGTTGTCACCTCCACAGTAGTCACTCCCACAGGTAAAAACGTAAACTCATCCAACTGCTGCCCGTAGCCATGGAAACTTTGGACCCACCTTCAGTTCATTCTGTTACCACTGGTTGCAACTTTGAACTATTTGCAGTATTGCCCAAATTGTTTCTGAGATATTATAAGGGCATGATATAAGTAGTAGTTTGTGTAATATTATTTTTAGTCAATATGGTCGAGATAAACTAGTCACTCATTCAGTTCTAGTTCACTCTCCTGGCACTGTAAAGATCCCTTCCAATAGTCCACAATTTCTAGATAATAAACTGTCAGACACTGCTGGATCAATATGGCATTAACAACGTTATTGATGGAAAAGGATCAATCATCTGTCATCTTACATACACATCTCATATACATTAGACCAGGGGTAGGCAAACTATGGTCCATGGGCCAAACCTGGCCCACCATCCATTTTTCTCTGGTGTATAAACTAAGAAGTCTAAGAATGGCTTTTTTACATTTTTAAACAGTTGAACAAAATCAAAATAGTATTTTGTAACCTGTGAAAATTATATGAAATTCAAATTCTAGTATCCATAGATAAAGTTTTATTAGGACACAGCCATGTTCATCTGTTTCTGTATTAGCTAGGTCTGCTTTTGCAATAAAATGCTGAGCAGTTACTACACAGACTGTATGGCCCACAAATCCTAAGACATTTCCCTTACAGAGAAAATTTGCTGACCCCTTCACTAGATCCAAGGGTCCTTGGAGGTACTGAAGTTTCCCACTACAGATTTTTTACTTCTAGATATTAATACTGGGACAAGAGTGATACAACTGGGACAGTATTTGCAAGGATCTGAAAAGGCAGAGACTAGAGAAGAGAAATACATGAAGGCTGCCTTGGATAGTGTGTAAAGGCCGGTAAAATCTGAGGGGTCTGATCCAACCAAGAAGCAGTTGGAGAACACAGGGTTGCATATACAGTTCCAGCAGCAAAGGAACCTCTTGCTAATTGTGCCACATGGGACCCTGGTGAGACCCAATCCCAAGAAGCCTAGTGAGCCTTGCTGACCAGGTGTTCTGCAAATAGCAGGCTGGCTGAGCAGTGTATGTGATGCAGAAACAGAGTTCCCCAATAGTAGCCCCCTCCTTTACTGTATGTCCTCAAGTCAGTTGGTACCCAGATTGATCCCAGGCATCTCCACTGGCAAATCTGAACTCTTAAGAAATGGATCTGAAAGGAAGGCTCTGGAAAGCAGGTCCCAGTTACACATTCTTCCCAAACAACATTTCAGTGAGGATTCAGAGCCAGGGGCAGAATTCAGAAGACTGAAGAACTATCCATGTTTTTTGAAATCAAACGTTGGTGAATATTTTATTCTGTTTTTGCTAATTACTGGTGGGGCAGATGGAAATAAGGTAGGGAGGAGTGATGGGTGGAGGAAGAATTAGATAAAATCACTGATGGGATGATCTTCCCTGGAAGGTGTCTATTCTCCTGGACTTCCAGCTGTGGAATATAATATTCCATGTCGATTTTGAACCAGAATGGGATAGAAAGGGAGATCAGTCTGAAAGCCAAAGAGATTCATTAATTGACTGTGTGCTGAGCTTGAGAATTACAGTCAAGGTTTGCAGATGGCCAGCTCTCCTCCTGATGTCCTACAGAGAGCCAGGCTTCATCTTCTACCTTTAGGTGGAGCTTACCCTGAGAGAATGGGATTTGGATGTATTTCTGAAAAACTTTCACGACTCCTGAATACCAGAGATAACCAAATTGCCTCCTTAAGAAACTTGTAACACTGGCTGCCTCTGGGGAGTGGAACCACTGGTGGCTAAGGGTGGGAGGGAGCTTCTTCTTCTTCCCAGTATGTCTCTTAGATAAAACAAAAACAAGAACACATCCCTTCACGTTGTCCCACCCTGCTTCTTGAGGATAGGAAAGCAACTTGGGGCCAATTTCCCTACTCAAGACTATAGGGCTGAAGTTGGGAGCTGGAAAAGGGATCAAAAGTTAGACAGTTGTAAGTTGAATAGAAAATCCTGACCAAAAGGGAGGGAGGTATGATCCTGAATTAGAAAACAAAGCACCAGTATAACAGAGGAGAAAGAGCAAACTGATAGAGAATAAACAGAGGTGTATAAGAAAAGCCAAGGACAAGAGCCTGGGGCATGACGATAGGTGGATTCTTGAGATTCAAGAAACCTGTGGGGCAGGTGGAAGTCCAAGATGTAGTTCAGGGTAAATTTTGTGTCAGCGATGAAACAGATTTGGTGGGTGGGCACATAAGGGGTACTGTTTTGAGAACTCTCCTGTCGGGGGATAGTCCTAGGAGATCATGCTCTGGCCTGGGGCTTAGTGATTCTGAGCATGTATGGATAGTTTGCCGTGGGATGAGTGTTAGGGCAGAAATTTTACTTCCCCAAATCTGAGCCATCTTAGGGTCTATTATCATTTTTTCTTAAGATTTTATTTATTTTTTGGGGAGAGACAGAGAGAAAGCAAGAGAGAGAGCCCGAGCTGGGGAGAGGGGCAGAAGGAGAGGGACAAGCAGACTCCCCGCTGAGCAGGGAGCTCGATGCAGGGGCTTGATCCCAACTGAGCCACCCAGGCACCCCGGGTCTATTATCATTTCATTGAATATTTTCTGGGAAGCCTTGCAAATGGGCAATTGGTTTAGGTAAAGCCATAGTTCAACCCAACCAGTACTCAGCACATGATCTAAAGTAAAAAATTAAGTCCTTTTCATTATAGCTACTAGTAACAATTTGAATTCACATTCTTGATTACCTGCTTCCGGTTGCTGTGTCTAAACCCTGTCTGGGCCAACAATGCTTCTGGTACCCTATGATCCAGCATGGTCTTTGTCCAGCATCTTTGGAAGGCTCACTCCAGCCCTGTTCACAGGACAGGAATAAGTCCAGAAATAAGTTCTCTCAGGTTAGAGATAAGGCCTAGAGATACTGTTGTAGAATCCTGGCCCTGGCCAAGGAGCATACAATTTTCCACCAGTTACCACTGAGTCTAGCAAGGATTAATATGAGGTTCAGCCACAAAGTTGCAATAGCTGGCTATGGGGGCTTTGTTCCAGAAGGGCAGTGTCTCTGGTGGCAAGTGCTTGTGGGGAACCAGGGCCTCATCTGATGTAGATGTAATGGTCCTGAAACGGAGTGCCTACAAATGGCTAAGTAGGTTGAAGTCTATAAGCTGTTGTTTTGTTTACAAGTTCTTTTGCACAAGATCTTTTATTCGTGGGATAAGGTCTAGGTTTCAGGGTGCTTCAAAACTAACAGCTATTAGTAGGGAACTTGTCATTTTTTGAAGGGGATAGAGACAGTGAAAGAACAGAACTAAACATAACTGTGTTGAATAAATAGTGCTGGGCTTCTATCAACCAATATGGTTTACTAACTTACTAGTTAAATAATAGGGACTGTTACACGTAAAAATCCTTGGGTAAAACACAGACATTGGCTAATCCTGTGAAATGCTGTTTCTAACCTTTCCTCCACTGCACCTCCATCAGGCATTTCTGAGATGTTTCCAGTCTATGTGGTATTACTTGGAATCCACTTGGGAAAAGTTCCATTCCATAAATCCTGGCGGAGAGGCAGAAAGAGATAAAGGAGTCTAAACTCGCAGAACTTGTTTTGGGGGGGGGTTGATGGTCAAACTAGATCATCAAATAAGTGACTTATTATAAACCTATCCACAGATTCGGGGAAAGCAATTTATAAACTAATGGCAAGTTAGGGCAGAGAAGAGGAAGCAAATTATCCCAAATTGTTCATCTTCTGCAACAAACACCATTATCTTCCTCCCGACTTTGCTATTTCAGCCAACAGTGCCATCATTTTCATACCGATGCAGGTTCAAAGCCTCATGCTATTCCACCTGCTTGGGAAGTTTTCTCTAATTTCCTAGCCTCCTGTCTCACCTTTCTTTATGGATCCAGTCAGGAATCATCTCATCTGGATGTCCACCCAGCCAGCCCTTGGTGATCTTGTTTTATACCTTCACACGGTCAATGCCCGGCAGTGTTCTAAAAACTGCAGGTGCTCAAAAACCACCTGACGGTGTTGGCACTAGTTACTAAAAACAGGCCACTGTGTGGGAATCAGCACATAAGCAGCAGACTCCCTCAATTCAAGGTCTAGAGTACCACCTCGTCTTCCTCCTCACACATCGCGGCCTGGGCCTGAGTCCCCTGGCTTATATTTTCTAGGACCAAATCCTCCTCTTCCAGCAGAGGGGATACCCAAATGAGTGGGGGTCCAGAGCACAGGACTCATGAAACAAATCCAGCTCTTCTGTAAAAGACAGGTCTGTGAGAAGGTGAGTACAGGTGGCCAACCCCTGTGTAATGAGGGGTTCCCACTGAGTCATTTGGGCTGGATATGCCCTTAGCAATCCTCACTAGGTCAGCATGCCACTGCCTTCTGTACCATATGAAGTAGGCTGGAACTGTACCTATGAAGCAGGCTGGAACTGTAGGCCTTCTTTTGGGGTCCTCCCAGAATATGCCTTCATGGGCACAGAAGGACTCTGGGAGGTCCTGTTCCCACCTTTCAGTGGTATGATCCCCTGAGGCAGAATGTTGAGAACACAGGAACAGGACAGCCACAACAAGCTAAGGTTTGGGCAGCAAGGAGACCCAAACTTTAACAAGCAAAAGAAATCAAGAAACAAGTAAGTACCAGAAGTCAACAGGCAAAAGTTCCTCAAAATTGGAAGACGGCCCAGTAGTCCAGCAAGGGTAACTAGGAGGGTGGTAACGTGGGAAGGAGCGGGTGAAGACTGAAAATGGATGAGCAGCAAATGAAGGTGCCTGTGACGCAGCTTTCTAGCTCAGGCTCAGCTACCTCACATTCCTTTCACCATGGGGTGAACCAATCCTGAGCTGCCCTGGGGGGAAGGCTTGTTGATGAGGATGCCTGCAGAAGCTGGCTGGCAGGGTAGTGGTTTTGGGGATGGGATACAGGCAGAGGTATTTCCCCACCAGCTTCACACTGGAGATGAGTCCATGTTTCAGAACTTGTTATCTTTTTCCTTACACACGAGCTATTTTTCCTAGTTTCCGTTGAAAGATCAGACTGAAAGTCAAATCTCCGAGGCTTAGGTTCATCCTTCAAAATACCTGATATAACTTTTGCAGAAACTTTCCTCATATTCAAGTTTTCTTTCAAAATGAGTCTAACGGTTTCTTTATCTAAATTTAACTCTTCGGCCATCATCCTCACCGTCAACCGCCTGTTTGAACAAACCAAGTCCTTGACCTTCTGGATATTTTCATCCGTCCGGTGGGTGACTGGACGACCACTCCGGGCGTCATCTCGAACGTCTTCCCGCCCTTCTTTAAATCTTTTGTGCCAGTCGAAAACTCGGGCCCTTGACATGACTTCATTCCCATAAGCTTCTTTCAAAAGGTGGTGGGTCTCACTTGCAGACTTGTTCAATTTCACGCAAAACTTGATACTAATCCTTTGTTCTAGATAGCGGTCACTCATTCTGGCACTTAAACAGCATAGGAAAGTGAAAAGACCACAACTGTTAAGGGGAAGAGAGTGGAACCGATCTCTATAGGGCTGCAAGTGGAATCATGTCGCTATTAATGATCCTTCAAAAGCCTCACCAGGGAAAAGTAATTGCTTTTTTGAGTTTTCGCCCGAGCTTCCGGTCGAGGCTGGGGAAGCTCGTCCCGAGAAGCTAACAGGGCCGAAGAGTTGATGCAAAACTGGGGAAAATGAAATCTCCTGCACGTCTCCGTTCAACTGTGCACTCAGCTCTGCGGAGAGTGTGTAAATCTGTCAGCAAGGTCTTCCCGATTCCGCGGCCCTTCAGAGTCTATGGCGATTTCTGCAATAGAGGCCGAAGTGGTGGCAACGTAAGCAAGCAAGGAGAGATACGCCGGTGATATAATGTGCAAGCTCGCCCCAGATCTGCGGAATCCCGCGCACGCCAAACCTACCGAAGCTGCCGGGGGCTCGCCCGCTCTAGAGTCCCGGGAGACACGCCCGCATGCGCAATGGCCTCTCTTCGCGGGGTAGGTTGTGCGCAGGCGCACTGCGGCAGCCCGCGCCAGGCCTCGCTTCCACCTCGCCACACCCGGGCCGGCGCGCTTCTTTGCGCGTGCCCGCTTGGGGAGAAGTCGGCGGAAAGAAGGGGGCGGGGGAGGAAGGCTGAGGGAAGAGAGGGCACCCCCGGGCGCCAGGGTGCATTGTGGGAAGGAGGCGGCAGCGTCCCGGGCGGGCGGGAGGTGCACCAGCGGCAGCGGCGGCGGCGGCGGTAAATCCTCCCGGCCGCTCACAGCACTGTGGAGCCGCGTCCCCAGCCCGGCCTCGGACCGCGGCGCCCCTCCTGCCCCTCGCGGCTTCTCGCCCGCCGCCCCTCCCCCCGGCGCGCCGGCCTAGCCGAGCCGGCCGGCCGGCCTGGCTCCCCTCCCCGGCCCCGACGGGCGGGCGGGCTGCCCTGAGGAGGCGGGGAGGGGAGGGCTGGGCCGGCCGGCGGGTGGGCGACGATGCCGAACTTCTGCGCTGCCCCCAACTGCACGAGGAAGAGCACGCAGTCGGACCTGGCCTTTTTCAGGTTCCCGCGGGATCCGGCCAGGTAAGCGGCGGGCGCGGAGCCGGCAGCCCGGGCCCATCTCCGCGGTGCGCGCTGCCAAGCGCCGGCTCCGGGGCTGCGTGGGGAGTGGGCCACGGTCTTCGACCCCAGCCTCGGCGGCAGGTGGGGAACGGGCCTTGAGCAGCGGGCCGGCGGGCGCCCGGGGACCTCGGAGCACGTGCGCCAGCGGGGGCTCGGCGCGGCGGGCACCACCCGAAGGAAGAGGCAACTGGGGCGGCGCGCAGGCGAGATGAGCTGGGTTCTCGCCTTGGTTAGCTTGCTGGGTGATCTCGGGCAGGTCGCTTTTCCCTCTAGGCTTTAGTTTCCTTAGCTGTCAAAAGAGGCACTTGGATTCTATGGTTGGGGTCACCAGGGCCCTTCCCTCTCCTTGCCACCACCCCCGGGACAGTGTTTCTTTTTGGAGTCCGGTCACCTTCTTTGATCTCGTCAAGTCACAAGTACTTCCTCCAGCGGATTTGTTCATGGTTCAAATTCTGGCTCTGACCGTTACTCATTGTCTCACTTGGTTATCTTGGGGATAACGGAGGGTAGGGTGGGGGGGGGGGTATACGCCTGTGGGCGTGGGAATTGGTACTGAAGTCTTTTCCTTGAGGTAACCCACACTCTGACTTATATTTAAAGAGTGACAGAGTAGGGACTGTGAAAGTCTGAAGAATTTTCCTTGGCTTCTCTTGTTGATGCGTTCATTTCAAACCAACACTTATCGTGTGCCGAGCACTAGTGTTTGGTGCTGGAAATTCGGATGTGAGAGAGACAGTGTTGCTGCCTGCAGAAAGCTCACAGTCTGTTAAGGAGACAGATATAGAAGAAGGCGATTATAATATAGCATCCTATTTATTAGGTCCACAAATATTAATTGAAGGCCTACTATGTGCTAGGCATTGCTCTGAGCACTGGGAGTGTACGGATGACCAAATCAAAGCCCCTGCTCTCTTGAAGTTTATATTCTAGTGGAGGAAAATAGACAAGTATGTATATACAATATGTCATATGGTGATAAATACTATGGAGAAAAGGCAAATGTTGGGGGGTATAATAAGGAGTAGCAGGGGAGGCACAATTGCTATTCAAATAGGGTGATCAGAGAAGGTCTCACTGAGAAGGTGAATTTGAGCAAAGACCAGAAGTAGGTGAGCAGGCCAACCATGGAGATATCTAGAGGAAGAGCCTTCTGGTCTGTGGAAACAGTAAATGCAGTCAGGGCATGCATGTTAACAGGTACAGCCAGAAGTCCATGGACAATAGAGCTGGTTTAAGGAAGGAGAGAGAGGGAAAAAATCAGAAAACGGTGTGTGTTTGTATGATAGGGGTGAATTGTGTAGGATATTTTAGGCCATGTAAAGCATTATGGCCTTTATTCTGAGTGAGACAGGAAGTCATCCAAGAGTTTAGAGAAGAGAGACTACTTTAAACAGGATCACTGGCTGCTTGTTAGATTGTAGGGAAGCAAAAGTGAGAGCAGGAAGACCAGTTAAAGGCTTGATTGCAGTAATCCAGGTTAGTAGAGGAGGAGGGGGTTAACTGTTGGCATTTGAGAAACGTTTTGAAGGTGAAGCCAACAGAATCTGTTAATGGTTTAGATGTAGGTTGGTAAGAGAAAAGGGGAAGTCAAGAATAACTCAAGATTTTTTTTTAACCTGAGTATTTACTGAGCTATGGAAGACTGGGAGGAACAGGTTTGGTGGAGACATATTAAAAGTTTGGTTTGGGACATGTGAAGTTTGAAGAGTTTAATAAATGTTCAGGAATATCCAGAAATGAACTCAAAATGGCCCATATTTAGATCAGTAACCTAAATATTTTAGAGCTTAAACCATAAAAAGATAGTCTGGAATTTAGAGACTTTCAAACTAGAGATTGTAAATATGGGTGTTCTCAGTTTATAGAGTGTATTTAAAGTCATGCTCTGGGGTAAATAAAGCGGAGTAGATCTGAGGATTGAGCCCTGGGGCATTCCTGGTGTTTAAAGTTCAGGGAGGTGAGGATGGACTAGCTCAGAAGAGTGAGGAGTAGCTGTTGGGTTCTGTGGGAGCAGAGAAGAGGAACATCTGAATCTGACTGGGCCTTATCCCATTACGCATTATCTTCCTTTTACCCAAATTTTAGCCCAAGGGCAATCTTGAGAGTATATTTCACTTGCATAATAAGGGCAACAGTTGATTCTGGACCACAGGTCATTTGTGTCCGTATACTGTAGTGAATGCTCTTTTCGTTACACTCCTTAGAGGGGAGGGAGTATGACCTATAGGGGTGTACAGTCTCAAATTTGGAAGAAATTTTTAGATCTAGTGCAGTCTGTCCTCTTTGAGAATCTAATATAAGGACCTTACTTGAGAAAAGTCAGACACAATTTTGCATTCCATTATCAAGGTATTTTATGGGCCCTTTAGGGCCCTTTGCTAAAGACTGTTCTCTGCTTTGTGAAGGGACATTTCAAGATTTTGGACAGCTTTGGCTGTTGTTTCTTTCTTGTATTGAGTGGGATTATGTCTCCCTATAATTTATGCTTTGGAGGTCCTAGTTATGTTCCTACAGTCACACTGAGCAAATCTGTGCCATTTTCTATGTCAGAATCCTTTGAATATTTCGAGACCAAATTATGAACTTTTGTTTTAAACATTTTTATTGAGATATAATTCACACACCATACAATTCACCCATTTAAAATGTGTATTAAGTGCACTTTAATATACATTATACAGTATTAATGTATGTTCAGTATATATTACATTATTAATTTTTAAACATTTTGGTAAGATACAAAATTTGCCATTTTAACTATTTTTTAAGTGTGTAATTCAGTGGCATTAATTACATTCACAGTGTTGTGCAGCCAATCCCTTTCAAAAAGCTTTTTCATTACCCCAAGCAAAAACTGTACCATTAAGCAGTAACTCCTTCCCTCCCCCCACCCCGCCCCACCCACTTTCAGTCTCCACGAATTTGTGTGTTCTGTGTACTTCATGTAAATGGAATCATACAGTTGTCCTTTATATCTGGTTTATTTTAGTTAACATAATATCTTCAAGATCCTAACTTTTTATCCAGACCAAATCTCCTCTTACTGAGGATTTCAAATTCTTCTGTATTTGACAGTTTCTTCTTTACCGTGTCGAGAATTAATTATAATAAAGAAGTAGTTTTCAGAAGTGTGTATTGAATTAATAACAGTATTTTTAGGGTTATTATAATTTTTTTCTGTAAATGAGTTGTAGGGAAGGTTGATAAAAGGTGACATTGCCACCCTATCCTTGAAAAGTTAACTAATACTGTTAACTAAAAATATAGTATATTTAATGCTATTAAATAGTACATTTCCTTTTTGTTATATTTGTAAATTCCATGGACACTTTTATAAACAGCTATTTGAAGTAATTTAAAATTCAAAAGTGTAGTTAATAAAGGGCACAGTGCAGAATTTCAAAATATAGTACCTTTTATTGGTTCAGAAAAAGTGGCATTAATGTGCTTTTTATTTTTTTATTTTAATTTTAGTTTTTTTTAATTGAAGTATAGTTGACAATGTTCAGCATTAGTTTCAGATGTACAACGTAGTGATTCACTAAGTCTATACATTATGCCATGTTCACCGCAAGCGTAGCTACCATCTGTCACCATATAGTGCTGTTATAATACCATTGACTCTATTCCCTATGCTGTGCTTTTTATCCCCATTACTTATCCTTTCCTTTTTTTTTTTAACTATAAAATAATTGAATCAACTCCCTTTAGGGCAGTGGTAGGGAGGTCATAGATTACCTAAAATTAAAGTTTAAAGGAAAAAAAAACCTGCCTAAATCTGGGTCGCCCCAGGATGGCTTGACTAATGCCAAGGCTTGGCAGGAACCTGGGGGCAGCTCATCCCCAGATGAGATGAAGGTACGAGTAGAGCTGATGAATTGCTCCTATTAGAGTGAGGTGGGCAATTGAAGCCCTCTTCTTCCTTCTCAGGCAATTAGTTCTAACTCACCCCTCAGGTGGTGAGGTCTTCCAAGGTTCTTTTGGCAATTTAATCAAAGTTAATTGAGAATTGATGTACTCTGCCTTGTAAAACGTAAAACAAGTGTTTTTTGGGGCACTCATGAAGGTCCCCCAAGACCCTTTCAAGGAGTCCACAAGGTAAAATTATTTCATAATAACACTGACGTTATTTGCCTTTTTCACACTCGTTCTTTCAGGAGTGTGCACTGGAGTTTCTGAGGAGCTCCATAACATGGTAACATCATTGCTCTGATAAGTTATCTGTTAATATTTTCTAAAATTTTCTAAGTATGGTTATACAGATGCCAGTGTTTGGTAGATATTTTCTCAGAAATAAACAAAAGCCTGC